AGAGAATGGCGTGTTTTTAATTAATTTATTTATATATATATATATATATATATATATATATATATATATCACAAAATTGACTCTTCTGAGTTTTAAGACATGTTATAATATTGTTACCTCCTCAAAAACAAACCTGTAGTTACATTTTGTTTCATTCTGTGTTTTCTGTTTGAGAGAACTAAGCCTAAATATGCAGGGTTTGTGTTTTTAAACATGTGAAAACACAAATCTCCAGGTATGTTTTTGATGAAGAAACAACATTAATAATTAATGTTGATAAATAATAACTTAAATACGTAATAATTAATAACATTAATAATGAATAACTAATAATTGAGTTGACTTCATATTTTGTTTTTATTGTATAGTCATCCTTAAATCCTCCTGTAAAGCTACATATTTGGGTAGATCTTATTTCACAGACCATCAACCCAAAAGATACATAATAGCAAAACCCGCCAACTAACGCAATCCTGACCAAGACCAGCTCAAGATCTGGAGATGGGTGCCCAGAAACAGCACTGTAGTTGTCCAGTGCTCTTGACAGGTTGCTCGGGCAACATTGAAGGATGGCTCAAATACAGAGGACACATCACTGACCCTCTAGTCACTACATTTTAATATTCAATGAAGAAATTACATATCAGATGTAATCTTTGTCTAATCCTCAAACACTGCACAATCAAACCAACTAAACTCAGTGTAATGACAAATATACAGCGTGCTCTGCTTTAATCGTTTGACAATCAAATGTATGGCTCAGAGTTGGTTTATTTAAGGCAATAAGGTCAATCTAATTACAGCTGTTTTCACACAGCCAAAGGGGAGAAACAATGTGTAACTAATTAGTCCTTTTCACCCAGTTAATATTTGCTCACATATTAGTCTTTTGTTTTACTCGGCTGTTTCAGTTGGAGGAGCTCAGAGCTGCTCACGATGCATCGAGCCTCGACCTGGAGCAGAGCCACAGAGACCAGCTGCAGAGTCTTAGACAGCAGCACCAACTTTCACTGGACGGTAAAGACACTAAAGGAAATGATTTAGTTAAACTTTACCAAAGTCTTTAAAAAATTACGATTCCTTTTTTTTTTTTTTTTTTTTACCCCTCAGAGCTTATGACTAGCCACACTCAGGAGCTGCAGTCTCTCCTTACAACACTAAAAGACACAGAGACGGTCCTAAATGTAAGTTTAAAAATATTACAAATTAAACATTAAAAGCAAAAAAAAAACAAAAGCAAAAAAAAAACATATTTGACAAGAAAGAAAAAAAGATGACTAATGAATCGTTAAATGTACTTAAAACCTTAATAAGGGGAATGACCCTGTTCTCACTCTCCATAGAAACCTATGAGTTTAGGCCTTGGAAATGACGCCTTGAATAGACATAATTTGATATCAAATAATGTAATAACATTGCTTGTGTTTGTGCCTGTTCACAGGAGAAGATCCAAGAGCTGACTCAAGAGAACAAGGCTCTGATGGAGAAACTAACAGAGGAAGAAAACAGGAGGGAGATTTCACAGGTGATGTGATGGAAAATTTTATTCTATACTAAGAAACATTTCAGGCAACGTAATCTCCATGTACACCTTTAAGTTTGGGCTTATTTAGTGTAATAATAAATGGACATTCCTAGAAATCAGAAATCAAACTTTCATGGTGAAGCAAAGCCTTAATCATCACAAAATCTGTTCTCATGAAAGAGACCACAAGAAACCCCATGACCAGACTGATGCTTAGCTCTGAGCAAAATAGATGAAAAAACTGAGATTACAGGGAAAATCCATTCTCTAAATATATAAATAAATAAGACTGCTGCTGTTCTGGACTAACACAGACCTCAGAGGAAAAGGGAATCTGGTCTCAGTTTGAAACATGACTATCACGATCTGTAGTATAATTATCAGGCCTGCGACCTAGACAGGCAGGCCTGTTTTTTACTTTTTTTTTGTTTTTTACATTTTTTTTTACATTTTTTTATCCTCAGTTTTTTTATTCACATTCTTGTACTGAGACGTAAAATAAAAGTATTGTTACCTTACCCATTACCCTAAAAAACTCAGTGTAAACTCTGGCTCCCTCTATTGTGGACACGTGGTATTTGAGCATCAGGATTGGCTCTTCTCTTAAAAGACACACTGAAGACTAGATACTATGCTAATATGGTAAAAATTTCCTACACTTTGGTGCTAATTAGAGTTTTTTGGTTTTCTAGAAGGACTCCCACACTGTGTATTTGGAGCAGGACCTGGAGAGCCTCAAAGTCGTGTTGGACATAAAAAACCAGCAACTTCACCAACAAGAGAAGAAACTCATGGAGGTCGACAAACTGGTGAGTGACACTACACCTAAGTTAGTCTGGTGGGGATAGAACACATAGATCTGACCTGTGAGGTAAATGTTACATAGTGCATCTTTAAGTCTCAGCAGGGTAGCTTTTTCATTGGAAAAGTAGCCTTTTCTCTAGAATTGTGAGACTGGTCCAATGTCATAAATGGTACTGTTACTCCATAATACGGCTCTGTGAGATTGTGAGACACATCCATTTGTGCTATGATGAAATAAATGACATTGTGGTTCCAGACGGAGAAAAATTTGAAGCTGGAAAAGAGTCTGAGGAAAAGCCAACAGGAAAATGAGGAGTTGAAGGCTCAAATGGACAGACACGCTGCACTCTCCAGGTACAACATAATTGTGTAGGGCAGTAATTAATGTCCACACAAAATTATAATTTTTAGTTCCCATAATTCTTTTTTAAGCAAACAAGTGTCCTTGAAATTGCATTCAGTGCTAGGGTGTTACATTGTATATTATACATGTATTATATTGGGTATTATATGTATATTCTTTACTTGTGGACAGGACAACACATATTTCTACAAAAAAAAATTATAGATCACAAAGTTAATGTGGAAAATTCTGTAAGCAACATTTTTGTACATACAATTTATGAATGAAATTAGAAAGTTAAATTAGAAGTTGGGGGTGGGATTAAATAAATTTTTTTCTTCCCACTCCTTTACTACTATTACTATTATTTTGGGTTGTGAAAGTATTTTGCCTAAAAAAAGACTATTTTTGCTATCATTGTGGTAGTGAAATCTTTATCACTTATTGAGCCTATTCCCTTTTCATCAAAGGCCATAGAAGACCCTGACAAATGCTTCAGAGTTGTAACCCCCCTTGTGTCTCTCGTCCCACAGGCAGTTGTCCACAGAACAGGCTCTGCTGCAGGAGTCCCTTCAGAAAGAGTCTGAAGTGAACAAACGTCTGTCCATGGACAATGAAGAGCTAATGTGGAAACTCCACAACGGAGACCTGATCAGCCCCCGAAAGACCAGCCCCCATGCCCGCTCCCCCTCCCCCAATTCAGCCTGCACTCCCCCCGCTCCCCCTCTCTTCTCCAGCCCACCTGTGTTGCCCAGACATCACAGCACCCCCGCTGCCTGAACTGAGCACCTCAGTCAATGAATAAATAAATATATTTTAGATTGAATTGAAAAATGCACTGGAGCACTTATGAGACTTTTGCCTTTCACATCTGATATTTGGATGGGGAAAACTCAGGAGATGTACTATATGTATTCACTGTTTTTGTTTATTTATAGTTCGGTTTAAAAGGATTGTTCAGTGTTGATACATGGAGGTCAGGGGTCATAAGAGCAGACAGGAGCAATGACGAGGGCAACAGGTTTTACAATAATGTGGATAGTAGCACTGTCAGTGGGACAGTAAAATCAACTGAGGATCTTAGTTACTACTGCTGCTCGTACCACTGCTACTAATATTGCCAGTAATGCTAGTACAGTTAGTACTAATACTAGAACTGAACTAGAACTTAATACCACTACTACTACTACTGCTACATCTACAAAATCTGCCACTACTACTACATCATCTACTAATAATACTACTGCTACTACAACTACTTACTTTGCTTTTACTATTAATACTACTCATTCCAGTACTACTTCTACAACAATCTCTACTTCTCTACTAACAGTATTAACACTGCTTCTACTACAGCTATGGTCACTGCTATTGCTACATTTAACATGGCTGCTACTACATACTAATACAGCTATTTTTACTACAAATACTACTTGTACTAATACAGCTACTACTAATACCATTCCAACCGTACCATACCAACACTGCTATTACTACTACATCATCTGCGATTACTACGAACAATGCTGCTACTACTACCACTCCTACCACTATCACTACTACTAACAGTACTACTATTCAGCCCTGTAAAACATATTTTGACCAGTAACTCTTTAGAAAACTAAGTTGAATTTCTCAGTTTTTTTTCCACTTGCCACAATTCTGCTGCAGTATCCCGTCTGTATTTAATTGAGATGAGATTTACACCAGATGCCCTTCCTAACATGTACCACTCTTGGGCTTGGGAAGTGTCTAGTCTTGCTCCTGTCTGCTACTTCAAACCATGTTTACAGCAATCATTAAAATCATTGTCTAAAAGCCTTTATTCAATTTGTCAAACCAAAAAAATAAGACAAAATTGGTCCAAAAATATTCAAACTGCACCTTCCATTTTCAATATTATGAGCCTTAAGTTTCTCTACATCTCAACTGTAACAAAGCCATACCATTATTTCACATAGTTAGTACAAGAACGCGTTCTATATGAGCCATAAGCCGATCCCTGGTGGTCCTTAACACTATAGGATTTTATATTGGTTGTTACATCTATGGCTGAAATATTTTGTCCGTTATTCAGTTTTGTTTGTTTCTTTGACCAAGGGACCAATCACATATACTTGTACATGTTGTGTTTGTGAAATGGACCTAATGCAGCTTTAAAGTGGAGGCCTTTTGGAAGTATTACAGTTCACTTTTGTGTCAGAGTTACATGTGTGGGGCTTTTACTGGTGTTTGGAAACGTTTGGAAATATGCCATTAATAATAAAGTCTTGTAACAAAAATGTATTGTGGATACACTTTTTTTTTTTAACTAAGTATAGCTAGTTCTTAGTTTTACTTTTTGTTTTCATTAAAGATAAACTAATTTTATTTTTTTTGGAAGGTTGTGGCGATATCATTGCTTTGCCCGGAATATTCCAAAGTGTGGCTTTAAATTGTATCTTGTATTTGTTCAGATTCTAATTGATATTGCATAATTTTATTTATTTTATTTTTTGGAAGGTTGTGGCGATATTGCTTTTCCCGGAATACTCCAACATGTGGCTTTAAATTATCCATCTTGTATTTGTTCAGATTTTAATTGATATTGCATTAATTTTTTATTTATTATTTTTTTGGAAGGTTGTAATGATATCATTGCTTTGCCCGGAATATTCCAAAGTGTGGCTTTAAATTGTCCATTTTGTATTTGTTCAGATTCCAATTGATATTGCATTGAAGTTTAAACTATGTAACTTTACTGGTGGACGAGCAGGTGGCTGACCGTCTCCATGGAGATGCCCTTCAATTTATCTCAGAAAAGCAGGTAAAGCCACTCCAGGCCAAGTTACAGGTCAGATCTGCGTAGAGGCAAGCCCTTTCACATTAACAATGCAAGTATATGTAGCAATAAAAACACCAGTAATTTATCAAACGCAAGATATATATAATTAAATGCCCTAAGGTGGAACAATCCAGACAAAGCAATAACCTTACAACAGAATAACGTAGGCTCTTTTATATTATACTTATATACTACTACTTATTCTACAAATGTAGGAGGAGGGAACTGTTTATATTTTTGGGGCCTCTATTCTAATGTATTTTAATTTCCACAACTTTTCCATTATAACACTGACTGAGTGAATATTTGGGCAGATTGACTCAGCAATTTCTTTGGAAAGAATTTGAGCAAGTGCAAAAGTCAGAGCAGTGCATTGTGGTCCGTCAGATCACATTCCTCATATGGAGACGATTAGAAACAGCCTGGTACTCAGCTCAGACCCTGCCCACTGTTCCTAACACACACAGCTAAATAGATGTAGGATTTTCAGATTGATTTTGTTTTAAAGTCACAGTATGGAACATTTTCTCAAAAAAATAGATGCATAGATACAGGGCCCATATCTATGTTATGATGTTTCCTCAGCACAAACACACCTGGTCTTGTGTGTTGTTTCATTCACACATGTTTAACACAGAAACCCTGAAGATTTAGACTGAGTTCTCTCTGACAGAAAATGCTCTGTTCCACCTTGTGATGTCATGTGGTAATATTGAATACTAAGAACTGCTCCACTGCTTTTTTAAACTCCATACACTTTCACTAGAATCATTTGGAAGATTTCAGCTTTGGAAATGCCAATCTCTACTGAGTAAAAGGTAAAAGGTTAATTTGAAAACTATCATTTCAGCACATCACAAGGTGGAAAATCTACTTTATTTATATCACACATTTTTCAAACAAAGCAGTTTCCAAAATGCTGCACAGAGAACATAAAAAAGGTAAACTGCTAAAATACTAAGATGTAGACAGACTAATAATGATAAAAAGTTAAACATGTGAATGAAACAAAATACTACTCCAGGAATGTGTTTTGAGGACCTAACAAAGCTCACAAGCATGTTTGTTTCTATTGCACTGAAAAACACGTGTCGTTACTCCGAGTCTGCTTGCATCTTCACAAACCTGACTCCTATTTGACCTGGAGAAGGGTCTCCTCCTGCTTGTTTCCATGGAAATGTAGTTAAAAACATCTACAAGTGTTAAATAAGATTAAAGGAGGACTGATAAAAAAAAAACCACAGAACCCAGATTTATTATTGGCAAGGACAAAATACATGGTACAATCTACTAAGGTTTTTATTACATATAAAACTCTCTGGAAGGCAAATCAGTTCAAAAAGTATTTACAAGCACTACTATTACTATTATAATATTATATGCTATTGCTGTCCCAAATAGGGGGAGGTGCATCATTGGTTTAGTTGTGGTTTAGATCGCACTCAAGGATTGAATCAGGACTATCTGTGTTTACCTCACTGACTAGCAGGTATTTGGTAGAAAATCTTTGATGCTTCAATAAAATTACAATATTTTTATTTTCATATAGATAAAAAATATACTATTAAAAGGTGCACTATGAATTTTTTCTCGTAAACGGATCCGCCACCTTGCTTTTTCTGCAGTACATTTGTTTTAATTGCTCAAAAATACATTGAAAATCATAACTGCAAACCAGAGTGGGCTGGCTTTCCACTGATCTGACCTATAAATATGCTTGTTTTCATGGAGATTGATAAGTTTAATACCATTCTCTGGAACATTTCTGACATGGCAGAACATCTCCACGGAGACAACGGGGTGATGGATCCTATATTAGAAAAGTTCCACAGTGCACCTTCAAGAGCTTGTGTTATTGGATGAGTACGTGGACAGTTTATCCAGACTGGACATTGGTGGCCACTACAGTTTCTCCGTACTTGTTCTGGGCTTTGCAGATGTAGCTCCCTGAGTCTTTACGGTTCATCTCTTTAATGATGAGAACGCTCTGAGAGACTCGAGTGGTGTGACCCAGCCCCCTCTTCACCAAACGCCAGGACGAGTGCACCTGAGCTGAACGGGAGGACTGAAAAATATACAAAATAGTGGTGAATCTGATTGTATTTTCACATCAATAAGAGGTCCTGTAAGTAAAAAAATATATCAATTATTTCTCTATAGCCTTCTCTTTTGTTGTATTAAAGGTGCACTATGAGGGTACAAGGGAATTGCAATTTAACTTCCAGAACAAGAAGTGCCCCTCCACTGTTCCGCCCCATGGAGTACCAATTAGTATTAATTCATCACAAATAACTTTCAAATAACTCATGCCTTGTACCTGGTTGGGATAGATCCACTTAAAGTGTATGGGGACCTCGGGCTCTCCCAGGACAGTACAGGTCACATTCACCGAGTCGCCCTCCAACACGAAATCCGGAGATGTTTCCATGCTGACAAACGGAGCACCACTGGGAACTGGACAGAAAATATGACAAGATAAGATTTCATATTGTAGTTCTTACCCTGCACTAAGATCAGATCAGCTGGTATTTGGTGGAGCTTTATCTGTGGTCAAAAAGTAGGACAAAACAAGGATTAATCCAGGACTAAACCAGAACTAAACCAAATTTAAATCAGAACTAAACCATGAACCAGGTCTATCTCTCACCGTCCACATAGAGCAGCTGGTACTTGGTTGATATCTGTAGTCTAAATCAGGATTAAACCAGGTCTATCTCTTACCCTCCACATAGAGCAGCTGGTACTTACCTGCTATCCGTAGTCTAAAATAGGACTAGACCAGGACTAGACCAGGACTAGACCAGGACTAGACCAGGACTAGACCAGGACTAGACCAGGACTAGACCAGGACTAGACCAGGACTAGACCAAGAATGAACCAGGTCTATCTCTCACCCTCCACATAGAGCAGGCGGTACTTAGCTGCCATCCGTAGTCTAAACCAGGACTAGACCAGGACTAAATCAGGACTAAACTAGGACTAAACCAGAACTAAACCAGGTCTATCTCTCACCCTCCACATAGAGCAGCTGGTACTTGGTTGATATCTGTGGGGCCCCTCTGCTCTGGGCCTTGCAGTAGTACACTCCCTGTAGCTCTGGTCCGGGACTCTCCAGGACGAACCCTTGGGTGGGGTCAAAGGTCACGCCCGTGCCGTTGGTGGGTATCTCCTGTGGGGGCACCTCTCTGTGCAGCGTCACTTGGGTTTGGGGGTCGGTCACTCTGCAGGGCACCACAGCGGGGCGGTCCGGGCGCAGATACACCAGCTCTATGTGGATGGGAGAGGGCACGAAGAGGCTGTCTTTGTCTGCGGAGAGGGAGAACAATCTGAAAGTGCCTATGACAAGTTGGACTGCTCATTTGACCAAAACACAGTTAAGAAATCATGACCTCACGCTTGGGAATTCTATTATTGTTACAACCATGCAACCATGATGTACACTGGGCCAAAACTCCTCTATTGTGGAAAGACATTTTCATTTCACAAATAAAAATACAAGAAAACACATTTATTTTGTTGAAATAATGTTCAAAATATCACAAAAATGTGTTGTTTGGGTAGAATTCTCTCCAGTGTGATGGCATCAATATGGAACTCTTTAAACAGAACTCTCTAATTCCTCAAAATATTTTAAACTTTTCTTCAGATTGCTTCTTTGTAATAGCCTGGATAGCAACCTTAGAGGAACAGAGTCAAGCTGAGCCGATTTTTAAACCTTTGTTTCTGTTTCTCATTACCTCACCTGTTAATTAGCCCGAGGACCATGTAATGGACTGGCTACATTACATTCTTCATCAACTATAATTCATATTTCCAACAGGTATTATCCCACTCCCTTTAAGAGTCAGTCCAGTGATATGGTAAAAGACAGAACAAAATCTTTAACACACACCAGCACAAAAGTGTATTAAACAAGTAACAGAAAATCTAAAATAAATAATATATCAAAATAACCAGATTAACCATGATCATTAGAAAGCATATTATTCCATTACACCTTTGTGCAAATCACTGCACACTCAGATAATTAGATTAAATGCTGTAACCATGGCCACTGTGTGCACTATGTAGCTTCTTAAAGATGGGCCCCCGCCTGTTTGTCTTCATAGAGATTTGATTTTAATGATCCACAGTATGGCATTATATTTCCATGAAGACATGCACATGAGAGCATCATACATCTAAAGCAGGTTGTATTTTATGGATCTAACCATAATCTTAAAGATTTGTAAGTTGTTTATCTGTAAGTATTTTCTCACCAGTGAAGTAGACATATGTGGAGTAGCTCCGGTCTGTGTCTTTGGAGCACTCTTTTCCATCACAGAGAATGACCCAGCAGCTGTACATCCCAGTATCGGCAGCAGAGGGCGCTGTGAGGATCAACTGGCCATATTTATCTATCTGATTTATGCTGCAACACAAAAGTAAAAAAAAATACTGTTGACTTTCCGCACCAAATGGATTTACACCAGGACTGTATCATTCAGAAGAAGTAGAATAAAATCAGGAATCCCATGTGAGCCGGAGCCCATATGAGGGAATAGGACAACCCGATGGAGCCAGTTACACTAACCCAAGAACCAAAGCATGATCTAAACCAGGACTAAACCATAAAACAGGACAACACCAGGACTAAACCAGGTCTAAAGAAGATTAAACCAGGACTAATATTATTGTACATGCCCAGGTAGGACAGATGGGCTCACCAAACTTTGCTGCTTTAATCCAGGATTTATTCAGGACTAAACTATGTCTAAACCAGGACTAAACCAGGTCTAAACCAGGTCTTCTTACCTTAGCCTTGAGTAATTATAGATGTCCAGATAGTATGGATAGCACCACCTGATGTTGCTTCCTAAATCCAATACTTAACCAGGACTAAACCAGAACTAAACCAGGATTAAACCAGAACTAAAGCAGAACTAAACCAAAACTAAACCTGAACTAAACCTGAACTAAAGCATGGCTAAACTGGGACTATGCCAGGTCTGAACCAGGTCTAAATTCTTTACCTTAGCCTGGAATTATGTGTGTCCAGATAGAATGGATAAGCCCACCTGTGGTTGCTGCCTAAATCCAGGACTTAACAAGGACAAAAGCAGGACTTTAAGAAGAATTTAAGAAGGACTAAAAGGGTTCTAAACTAGGACTAAGCCAGGACTTCTCATTACCTGAGCCTGGAGTCATTGTATGTATCCAGATATGATGGGTAGCCCCACCCGATGTTGCTTCCTTTGCATCTGAGCTCCACAGATCTTCCTGGGGGGAGCACAGTGGCGTTCCCCAGCCGAAGGAAGCGCCCCTTCTCCAGGACCTGTGTGAGGAGGGACTGGCCTCTGGCTCCAGGATCTTTGGTTTTGGGGGGACGAGGTTTGACCCTTTTGCCAGGTCGGACGCGGCTGTCCCCCTGATCCTTCTTACGTCTGGGCTGTTGGCAAACTCCTGGACACAATCAAGTAGGGATGAATTATTTGAGTAAAATATCTAATTGTGATTTTTCAGCATTGTGATTGCGATTAGATTTAAGCTTTATGTTTAATAATAGGACTCTGTTCAAAGTTCACATTTTAAAGATGCACTGGGTAACTTTTTGGTTGGGGGTCTGTTACCTGCTTGTTTCTATGCATATATCCTGGTGACACAGGTATCTGCGCATGCGTCGGGTGTCTGTCTTGCTAGCTCGATCGACTCCCAAACAATTTTTGTTAACCAACAACTAAGACATCTTTTAGGGGAGAATAATAAACATTAAGGCAGTTATTGACTTTGGATACAACCCGATTCTTAAATACTTGAAATTAAGTCACTGGCGAAACCGCACCGGTAGGCCACAACCCGGCTGCGTGGCTGCAGGTGAGCCATGCGCCCACTCACCTTTACATCCAGCTGTGACAGCTGCCACGTCCTCAGTCAGAAGATGGCTGAGCTGGAACAGCGCATTTCCGCATTTGAAAGCCGAGTGGACAGTGACCAGAACATCGTCCTGGGCAAGACTCGGGCCCCCGCCAACAGCGCCCAGCTGGCTGACACGATCCACTACTCCAGAGACGCCCCTGAGCTCCAGCCATCACCGCCCGACACCGGTCTTCCAAATCCAGGTACAGGCGAACACTATTGGCTTCAGCGAGGGGCCAGACCTAAAGCCCCGATCAGCTCCACTCCAGTCCGGTCTGATCCCTGGACTCTTGTATCCCGTAATCGAGCAGACCGGCCGTGTTGCTCCTCTACATCTCTGGCGAATAAATTCAATGTCCTGGACTATGAGGATTTTCCTCCGTTGCCCCAAACCTACAAAGGCCAACTGCACTTCACCCCGGCTCCACCATCAGATCGTCTCGGTGCGCGGGGCATGGCCATGAACGCATCGCCACCTGCCTTGGGTAACCTGCACGAGGGTGAGTCTCCGCTGCTGTCCAGGTCTTTCCCTGCGGCCCCGATGCCGCCCGGAGGTTCTGCAGCACTTGGAGATTCTGCCTCGCGCAGCGTGACGGGGGAGGACCCGCTGCCCCCTCTCCGCGTGCGCGTGTCCCGACCGCTTCGCGTACGCCAACGGGGGCCTCCGTTCCCTCCTCGCGCATGTCGAGCCCGAGCGCTCGATGTGGGCGAGGAGATGGTCCCGCTCCTGACTGTGCTGCCTCCCGGAGCTCGGCTCACATCTCTGCGGTGCCCTCGGCTCCAGCGTCCAGGCCAGACCCGTCCGTGCTGGTTCTCGGCTCCTCCATGGTCCGGCACGTGAAAATTAGTAAAGGCCACACCTCCTGTCACCCAGGTGCTCTCGTGAAGGACATCATAGACTCCGCCCCCACCACTTTACGCCATCATCCCACAGCATCAACAGTAGTCATTCATGTCGGAACGAACGATCTCAAATTCCAGCAGTCAGAAATACTCAAGGACAACTTCAAAATCCTCATCACCACAATTCACAGTCTAAACAAACAGTGTGTCATCTCTGGACCTTTTGCTCCACCTCGTTTTGGTGATGAGAAATTCAGCCGTTTAAGGGCTTTACACATATGGCTGAAAAAATATTGCAGAGACAATAAAATCCCCTATGTGGACAATTTTACAACATTTTTTAAGAGACCTGAACTTTTTAAAAAGGACTGCCTACACCCCAACATCCCCGGATCCCGTCTCCTCTCATATAATATCGAACTCACACTAGGTTCAGCATGACAGTATAATCAAGGACAGTTCATTCCAGTGATTATCAGCAGAGAGCGGCATAAGCATAAACCTTCTCATAAAACTACTCCCAACATCAATAATCTCAGATCTCTCCCAAAGGAATATCCACCACAAATCCCTGTAGTTTCACAGTCCCCATTAACCCTAAACATGGCCCTTTTAAATGTCCGCTCTCTGCTGAACAAATCTTTTATTGTAAATGACCTGATTTTAGAACACAAACTTGACTGCTTCTTTTTAACAGAAACATGGCTGGGTACAGATGCACCAGTTGTTCTCACAGAGGCCTCACCACCCACTTTTAACTTTGCTTTTTCAACCAGGAATGGTAAAAGGGGAGGTGGCACTGCTTCTATATGCACAAACATTTTGGCCACCAAACCTATTTTATTCAACGATTTTACAAGTTTTGAACACCATTCAATTGTTTTTAGCAACCCCCAAATTTTATGTGTCACGGTGTACAGACCACCAAAGAAATGCAATATTTTTATCAATGAGTTTTCTGAGTTTTTATCTATTTTACACAATTCTTTTAATATGATTATTATAACAGGTGATTTTAACTTGCACATAGATAATCTTTTAGATCCTGTTGCAAATGAATTTTTAAATGTTCTTAATTATATGGATTTTACTCAGCATGTCACACAGCCAACTCACAACAGAGGACACACTCTGGATCTGGTCATCACCTATGGCCTGACCACTAGTGTGTCCTCTGTTGTTGACCTGGCTGTGTCTGACCACTACTGTGTGTTTTTTAACATCACTGGTTTTATACAGTGGGAGACCTCTGTGAGAACTGTGAGAAAGCGCCGTCTGACCCCTGAAGTGGCTGCCAATTTTATAGTTTTAGATAAAAATCCCCCAATGGTTTTACCTGCCCCTTGTGATTTTATTACTGACAATTTTAACAGTAAACTACGGTCAGCTCTAGATCTGGTTGCTCCACTCAAAACTAAAAACATCAAAACTAAACTAAAACCTTCATGGAGAACTGAAGAGCTGAAAAAATCCAAGAGAGAGTGCAGGAGGGCAGAACTACGATGGAGGAAAAACAAAATTACAATAAATCACCAGTTATTCAGAGCTCAACAACGGATATACAACGAAGCAATAAGAAACGCAAGAAACCATTACTTTTCCACAATAATTACCAATCACAAAAATCCTAAGGTCCTCTTCTCAACCACTGACAACATTTTAAACCCTGATTTAGCACGTTTTACTTAACACCCACTGACTCTCTCTGTGAGCAGTTTGCAGACCACTTCACGGGTAAGATAAACACTATCAGATGTGATATTTTATCTTGTCCAAGCTCTGTTTTTAGTACATCTGAGTGTTTGTCTGGACCAGAGGAAACGCTGGACAGTTTTGTCCTGGTTAATGCTGAGATGCTTGACAAAGTTTTCTCCTCAGTGAGGCCCACTTTTAGATCCAATTCCTGCCCCATTTTTTAAGTCATTTTATGGATCTTTTAGGGATGAGCTTTTAACCATGATGAATTGTTCTCTTCAGACAGGGTCTTTTCCACTGCCTTCAAAACTGCAGTGGTGAGGCTCCTGCTGAAGAAGAGCAATTTAGATTTTAATGATTTTAACAACTACCGACCAGTGTCTTACCTACCATTTTTAAGCCAAATTTTAGAAAAACTTGTTTTTATTCAGCTAAATTATTTTTTAGATGATCATAACATCTTGGAAAAATTTCAGTCTGGTTTTAGGGTGAACCACAGCACCGAGACTGCCCTGGCAAAGATTTTAAATGATTTTAGAATAAATTGCGATTCACAAAAAGTGACCGTATTGGTTTTACTGGATCTGAGCGCTGCCTTTGACACAGTAGACCACACTATTATTTTAACTCGCCTAAAACACCTCGGCCTCTCCGGTGCTGTTCACAAATGGTTCACATCCTACCTCACAGACAGAACATTTATGGTGAGTGTAGACACATGCTCCTCCAAGGTCCTTAAAATCACATGTGGTGTGCCCCAGGGCTCCATTTTAGGCCCTGTGCTTTTTAACTTTTACATGCTCCCTCTTGGTGGCGTCATCAGGAAACATGGAATCAACTTCCACAGCTATGCAGATGATACACAGCTTTACATCTCCATGTCTCCTGATGACACTAGACCAATGGATGCTCTTTTTAACTGCATTATAGATATCAAATCCTGGATGGCAGAAAACTTTCTCCAGCTTAACCAGGACAAAACTGAGGTTTTAGTCATTGGTCCTGAGGCCCAGAGAGAGAAATTTTTACCCAAACTACAAACACAGTCTTTTAACCCTTCTCCTCAAGTGAAAAACCTGGGTGTCATTTTTGACTCTGAGCTGACTTTTATACCACACATTAAGAACATCACAAAAATTGTTTTTTATCACCTAAAAAACATAGTCAGAGTCCGCCCCATTCTCTCTCTGGCCAACACAGAGACGCTGATGCATGCTTTTATCACCAGTCGAATAGACTACTGTAATGCCCTGCTCTCTGGTCTTCCCAAAAAGAGTATTTCAGGTTTGCAATTATTACAAAATTCAGCAGCACGTGTCCTGACGAGGACCAGAGGGCGGGACCACATTACACCGGTTTTAAAATCACTGCATTGGCTCCCTGTGAGTTTCTGGATCGATTTTAAAGTTCTTTTACTGGTTTTTAAATGTCTTAATGGTCTTGGGCCTTCTTATCTTTCAGAACTGCTTTTACCCTACGAACCCTCGCGGACCCTGTGCTCCTCCGACAGCAGACGCCTGGTTATTCCCAAAGTCAGGACGCACACCCATGGAGAGGCGTCTTTTCAGTATTATGGCCCTCGTCTATGGAACTGCAGCCGGAGGAGCTCAGGGCTGCAGAGAACATTCATGATTTTAAGAGCAGGCTCAAGACCCATCTTTTTAGCTTAGCTTTTGATTAAATTCTTATACTTTTACCTGTTTCTATTGTACACATTTTATTATGTTTATTCATTTTAGGTATATTTTTTAGGATTTCCAGTGTTTCCTCTGTAGGAGTCTCTGCATCAGGAGCGGAGGTCGGCTGTGGCTGCCAGGTTCTGTCCCGTGGGCTCCTGGTGAAGGGTTGGTGCTTAGGCTTCATCTCTCCACTGGCTCCTGTGGTGGTTCCTGGTGGTGGTGGACGTCTCTCTGCTCCTGGTGTAGACAGCTCCTCTGATGGTGCTTTCTCAACTGGTTCGCCTGTATTCAGCCTCACATTTTACTATAGGTGATTTTATGTATTTTACCATCTTAGGGCGTGTGTGTGCGCGTGTGTGTGCACGTGAGCGTGCGTGTCTGGGTTGTTTGGTTGTGTGGAGTCAGCCAGATGTGGGGGTCGAGTAAGTGGGTGGGTGGATGGAAATGTGGGATTGTTTTTAATCACTGTAAAGCACTTTGTGTTAAGTTTTTGTATGAAAAGCGCTTTATAAATAAAATTTGATTGCTCTGCATGGAATGTTCCACATTATGACATTAAACAGCTCCACCTGACATTTATTATGGTTTTACAGCTCAACAATACCTAGAAAAACAGGCATTCTGACTGTGAGTGGGTTTGCCTCTCCACAGATCTGACCTGTAACTTGGTCTGGTTTGGTAAGAAAGGATAAATGCCATACTGTGAAACATTCCAGACAAAGCAATAACATCTCCAACAGGAACCCTCCACCAATGCACCTTGCACACAAAGCACCTTTAAACACGTCCAAAAGAAAAGCCTGAATTATGAACTGACAAACTGATAAAAGAATAACATTTCAGAACATGTCTGTGCAGATCTAAACTACAGGGTACAGATGTATTTTGTTGTTTGTGGAGGACTTTCTGGTACTTCTAAAATATTTTTGGCATCTTTGCGATTTGCTAACTGTCCATTCAAATTGCAATTTCAATTGGATTATGATTAATCTTGCAGTTTTACAATCAAAACAAACTAATTTGAATATATTCATGGGTTTCCGCCTTTTTATAGGTGACATATTGAGGACTTTTCCCTATTCAAAAGATATAATATTTAGTTTTGAATTGTTAATTGCTCTGGTAATGGTCCTAATTTTTCATCACTTCATAATCGATGCATACAAAGACAGCCAAAAAAATATATGATGATTCTGTAATGAATGATTAGTTTGTATCATTTAGTATTATATTAATTACAACTGAACAATGTATATAAAACATTTCACAGACTTTTGCAGATTTTACAAGACATAGGGCTCCAATGAAGATAACTGTTCTCATTTCATTCTAGTCATACAGACAAGGACTAAAGCAGGTGTAAATATTCCTGGCCAACCAAAACCACACACTTTATATATGACTAAACCCTGAAATTCTGATGAAGAGATAAATAGCCATTTATTGTTAAGTAAATAGTTTGCAAATTTATGACAATACACAAGGAATGACAATACAGTCCAAATAGCCCAAACACGCACTACTCAAATGTCCACATAATTCAGAAAAACATAAATGTATTTCTAGTGCACTCTTGAGATTATTTCTATAATGTTTTCTCCAACAGGCTCTTACAGCTCCGCTCAAACAGTGAGAAATACAGGACTAGATTCTTACTCCACACAACTTATGTAACAGATAATACTCCCTACAACTGCATAAGAAGTCACCCTTATGTAACAGATAATACTCCCTACAACTGTATAACAACTCACCCTTATGTAACAGATAATAGTCCCTACAACTGTACAACAACTCACACTTAAGTAACAGATAATACTCCCTACAACTGTAAAACAACTCATCCTTATGTATCAGATAATACTCCCTACAACTGCATAAGAAGTCACCCTTATGTAACAGATAATACTCCCTACAACTGCACAACAACTTACCTTATGTGACAGATAAGCCTATGTCCTGTCAATCATCATATCATCTTTGCATTGTTTTCCTTATGATGTCTTGTATATAGCTTGTATTTGTATTACCATATTTCTATATTTTATTTGTACTGCCTTATTGACACCAGTCTCTTGCTATTTTTGCTACTTGTTTTGAATTTATTATTGCCATTTATATTTTTACTCATTTTTATTATATTATATTGTGATGTGTGAGCTACTGTGTCCAAGTACTTTCCCTTGTGGATCAATAAATTTTGTCTATCGTTAAAGTAAACTATGTTTTCTTCTCTACAGCTGAGACAACACTGAAACAGGAAGAGTGAAACTTATTCTTGGCACTGAACTTTTAAACCCTCATTTTGCTTTCTCTCTCTCTCTCAGATCCAGCAGCTTTATGGTTAGGGGTTGTTTTCATCTTATTTTCATAAAAAAAACGTAAGTGAATAGAGAGATTTTATTAAAAACGCCTGGTGCATGCCACAAACACAACTGCTCCTCTGGCTCTGCAGAATCACTTAAAGTCAATGTGGAAAAGTTGAGTGAGACAGAATATATTTTGAGCTAGGTTCTGGACGAGTATTTAAAAGTAAGCATTTAAATGGCTAAACAGGTTTGGGCAATGGTGTTGTGTTCCTATTAAAAATAATAATAATAAAAACAACTATTACATATGCTATCTTTGCTGATGCATAGGCAGTGTTGGGGAGTAACAGATTACATGTATCGGAGTTACGTAATCAGAGTACAAATTATGAGTAACTGTATTCAGTTAAAGTTACTGTTTCAATGAGTGGTAATTAAATTACAGTTACTTTGTTGAAATAAATGGATTACACGATGGAATTTTCCTTTTTTCACATTTTGGGCTATATCCTTTTTGTTTTTTGTTTTTTTCTCAGTAATTCCACTCATTGACAGACACTAAACCAGGTCTAAACCAGGTCTAAAACCAGGTCTAAACTAGATCTAAACCAGGACTAAACCAGGTCTAAACCAGGTCTAAAATAAGATTTAACAGGACTAAACCATGCTCCGCAGACCGTGTCTCCTCCTCTTCTATCAGTAATATTATTAATATGGTTTAGGACAGCCTGGTCTTTTTTATTGTCTTTTATCAGTCAAAACATCTTATGTGAAGATTTCCTTGTCTTTGCTTCTCTACAGCAAATCAAGTAATCCAAAGTATTCAGATTACGTTACTCACCTTAAGTAACTTAATGGATTCCGTTACAAACTACATTTTGGTGTATGTAATCTGTAATCTGTAGGGAAATATATTTTAAAAGTGACCTTCCCAACACTGTGCATAGGGCCCTGCTAATAGGTTTTCTCTACTCTACTGTATTTTTATTTTATACAAATTTATGTAATGATTTAGTCTGATTTTTTTGAATTATATATTGTAGCATCAACACTGATTGTTAGAAAATTTAATCTCTCTATTTTGAAAACTGAAAAGGTATCCACAAGTAGCATTTAAAGGGATAAAGAAGTAGTTTTAAATTACCAAGCTTCAGAAGTAGGGTCCTATTGACTAGTTTAGCACAAAGTTAAAGAGAAACTCTGTCACTTTTCTGCGTAGGGTGACCAGATTTTCAAAATTCAAAACTGGGACACACTCGGGTTGGGGTGGTTGATGTAAATAAAATCATTCTCCACTCACTTAATTGACTTTGTGGGCCATGCATAATCTGAGGGACTTCTGTCGATACCATTTTCAATTACAGTTTTCAGTGTTTTAGCTTAACAAATGACAATCTATCCCCCTCTTTACTGTTGGTGGGTAATAAATTGCTCAAAAACAGGGACAAGTGGGACATTTCTTCAATAAAACTGGGACAAATCAGTGGTTTTGGATAAATCTGCTGGGACAGGGGACACAGGGCTCAAAACTGGGACTGTCCCAGGTAAATAGGGACATCTGGTCACCCTGGTTGTGCTACCTGCTTTTTCCATGGAGCTGTTGTTTATTTTGCCTGTAATATTCCACAGTATGGCATTTAAACTTATCTATCTCCATGGAGACAGCAAATCACACACTTGAAATATAAAGATGATATAAGATAATGTTATACGGTGGAAAAGTTACATAGTGCAGCTTTAAATGACTCATCTAATAGGCTTCCCGGATTGCACATTACCTACTTAACACTATAAAACTTTAAAGGCATATCCATTCTTGGCATATCCGCCCTTTTGTGTGTGATTTTGCAGAGAATTTGAATGTCATATTTGGAAATGGACTCACCAGTATGGAGCTCCACCAAAACCAGCGCGAGACACAGAATAACACAGGTCTTCATCATAGACTCAGTGAAGTGTTTTTGTCCGAGTTAGATCTGCGTCTGCTGCTGCTCCATTGTGTTCAGGGTCAGATGGAGAGAAAAGGGGGAAAATAACTCTGGACTGGACCTGAGTTTCCTCCCCTCTGTAACATCTGGTGATAGAAATGCGCCCTCTGCTGGAGTGATGAGTGGATTCCACCCAAATGACATCAGTATGGTAAAAAAAAGCAGATGTTTGTAGACAGCTAAGTAGCACAGAAAAGTGTGTCAAACGCATCTGAAGCCTTTAACTTATTAACAAAATCAAATTAAATTATGAATCGTCTCTAAAAAGAAACTGTAAAGCAAGAATGTAATGTCTGTAAATATCCACTTGAGGGAGACATTTTCACATTAAACCAGATTGCTGCTTGGTTCATGGATCTGTAAATTGACATGAAATGTTTTACTACTAAGAGTCCCAGTGTTCACAGAAAAGACAAACTCACTTCATGAAATAGTATTAGTAATAGAAGTACATGTATCTTTGTAAGTAGTGCCCAAAATGCTCTAGTCTATATGCTTCAAGATGCAATACATCACAGAAAACCTGCAAATACAATACAAGCTTGTACATTTGTTCATTTCATACATCCTAGTTATTTGTATATTAAAATATACAGTACATCTTGATTCATCTGGGCATAGCAGACTTTGATATCTGGTGTATTGATATATTTTGTATTGATAAGCAGTTTTCCTTAATGTAAAGGCGGAACATGGAAGTCAAATCTACTCAAGTGAAGATAAAAGTATATTCTTCAATACTTTCAGCAAACTTGGATATTAGTTTATGCACATCGCACAAACTGTCCATTCCCTTTTTTTATTCAATCAGAATCAAAGCAAAACCTGTTAAGATTTTAAAATAAATAAATAAATAAAAAATACTGGTGACAAAGGATGAGTTGATGATGGCAGCTAAACCACATGTCTCCACACTTCCCCCTGGAGGTGAACTCTGTAGTGTGACCTCACTGTTATGAAACTGTAGTGTCTGACTTTTGTAAAGATAACGCCACAAGGCAAACAGGTGGCTCTCAAACATGTGACAAATATGTGCAGTTTCAATATTTGAACTGAAAACAAAGATTTTAAAGGCAAAGATAAGAAATATTAACAAAGACTTGGTCCAATATAGTCACACATATTTTCAATACTTCAAGACTACAGTCGTATCTTAAGAAACACAATGTAGCTGAACAGTTTATTTAGTAGTTCAATTCCATATTGCAAAGAGGGTCCACCGCCTGTTTAATGTTGAAATTCAATATTATTGCTTTGCTTGCAAAGTTTCCCAGTATGGCATTTAAGTTAAGTATTTTAAGGTTACACAACCAGGCCAAGTTGCAGGTCAGATCTGTGGAGAGGCAACCCGGCTCACATATACTAACACAGAAGAAACACCTATAATCGAAAAAATACTAAATAGATCAGCATAATGCCATACATTGGAAATAAAATAATAATATCTAAATTATCATTAAGTAAATCAAGATTAAACTACAATGGAAATGTATTAAACCAGGTCTAAACCAGAACTAAACCAGGTCTAAAACAGGGGTAAAACAGGACTAGACTTGGATTAAACTAGAACTGAGACAAATCCAATCGATTAAACGTGCACTTAGTAATTCTAGTACCACAGTTTTTGAACAGTATCCACATTTAATAAAGTGTAGTACAAAATGTAAGCAATAAGATGCTTGAAATATTCCATTACTCAATACAACATGAGAAAAGACATTATTCCACAGTATTCAAATCTGTTATGATGCCTCTTGCCAATCTATATCACAAAATATATACTGTCTGCCATTAAAACAAACCCAAAAAAAAACCAAAAAAAAAAACCTATAAATTCATTCAAAAATCAATCAAATCATCACAATAGCAATCCTCTGATCCTTAATACTCAATAGGTTGGATTCATGTGACGTTGTAGAATCTCTATACTTTAACACTGAATTGAAGGAATTTCAGAATTAAAAGGTGGAAGTTGCTGTTCCACTGTCAGATTGTAGATTTATAGAACTGGTTTATTGTTAATATATCAGCAATTGGTGGGATATGGCAAGTTCAAAGTCTTCTCTGTCAATATAAGTAAAAAATAAAATAAAATCTTAAGAAAGTAGTCCTATTATTCAATTTCAAAGGTGTAATCTTTTAACCTAGTTCACACCAGATTGACTTGTGTGGTGCTCTGAGTTCTTTTACAGTTATCAGTTTGAAACGACTCTCGCTAAAAGTGATCGGGAAAAGCCTGAACGTCATGACCAATATTTGAATCTTACTGATTGAAGTGTCACAACAATAATGTATGACATTATTACAACAATGAGAAAAAGCAAAGACATCTTCCCTGTCCACAAACGCACAAAGCGCTTCCCTCTCCACATTTTTCACAAACAAAATAGTAAGTAAAGAGAAGTAAAGAGAAGTGATGATGATCATATGACAGGTTTGTGGACCCAATTCCCAACAAATACTGATGAGGTTCAACGTTTATGGATTTCAATTTAGTACATGTCTTTCAAAAACAGTAAATCTTCTATCAAGTTTTATAGGCCTCTGTCGCAATATCTGAGTTCATGACATCGTCAGATTCTAAAACATGAACACAGCACACAGCCGTGGAGGTGAATAACACAGATATATTTACATTATATGAGCTGCACACGCCAGTAGTAACAAATGTTCTGTTTCAAGTGCCAAAAAGTACATCAATATTATGTAATTGATGGTGTGCTTATTTAATCTAAACTTCAACAGGCCTGTCAAAGGAAATGAGTGAGTGTCTTGCCCAAAGGCATCGAGGCATGCAATAATACCATTAACAGAGACTGAATTCCACCATTTCCAAATAATATAATGGTAAAAAATCACATTTTAAAAATCTGTTTTATACGTACATTTGGATCAAGAGGTCCAACTTTTTATTTTTTTAAATGAATGAAAAGAACCAGATTTCATTTCCCAAAAAAGCAGTTCCTATCCCACAGTGAACTACCTGTACACTCCAACATAAACACTTTTAAAACAGTACAATCTCTAAGTCTATTCGCTGACAAATCTTAAAGAAGTACTATGGAACTTTTCTGGTGGACAGTCCGTTACTTAGTTGTCTCCATGGAGATATTTTAGCTTTTTCCAGAATCTTCCACACACAGTATATAGTATTAAACTTCTAACTCTATGGACACAAGCAGGTGACATCCCCAGATCAACGTACAGGTCAGATCTGTGGAGAGGCGAGTCTGTTCATGATCCACTTTTAATCAAGTAGACCATTTAAAATTCTCCATGGAGACAAGCAAGTAGAAACATCCACCAGAAAAGTTGCATTGTGCGACTTTAAGCAAGAGTAAACATAAAAGGCAGACAAGGTAGATATACTCATTTATAGTTTTAGTCCATGATAAAATGCTTTGTGGTAAAATGATCTTTCCAGTGTCTTACCTGTCCTCTTTAGCCCCGCCTCCACAAGCACAACAGGAAGTGATGTCACTTCATCATGTGATCAGCTTCAACCAATACTGACACTGGTTTTTCTGAATAAATGTGCTTTTTTGACATATTTACAAAAGCAGTAAACATCAAACTGCTCAGGGCCCTTCTCCGTGTGACCCATCAAAATAAAAGTCTTGAGTAAAATGTGTATAAATGTCTAAAACTCGCTGGTTTTCTCTGGGAGAACGAAGCACTCTTGGTCTTTCGTGATTGTATCTGATTTCTCACAGTTGTTTTTGCTGTTTCCTTTCTCTTTCTGTGGAGGCTGTAGGTGGCGCTGGTATTCAACGCTATGCCACATGCCATAGCCAAAGTAGATCAGAAAACCTGAAGAACAAAAAATGTATGAATAAAATTATTAAATAGTTTGTTTCTTTTACAATGACATTTCATTACAGTATAGTCTAACGGCTGTAGAATTTTCAGGGGCGTTAAATAACTCAATTTTTTTTCTGTAAAAAGGTAAGTTCTATGTTGTATGGGCTCCTTCCTCTATGGGCTTCGCTAGTGGCTATCACATGAGGGCTACACACATACTCATAGAACTATAGTTACATATGTAACTGACATTGTCATGTTGTTCTTTACAGATGACATTCTATTATCAAAATAACTGCTGATTTGATAATTGCACAGACTCTAATTGTGATTTTGATTCTACTGTGATATATTGTGCAGCCTTATCTATAAACACATTTATGTTCGTATATTTTTTTATATATTCTGTAAATGAATTGAATGTATGAACCTTACCGACAGCCATCCAAACAGAGAAGCGGATCCACGTGTCTCCACTGAGCTGAACCATGAGATAAATGTTCACGAAGATACTGACAATGGGCAGAAAGGGCAGCAGAGGAACCTATGAGAAACAGTTAAAACATATTTATTTTTAACTGCAGAACATTTTAGCTAATAGTTAATAATGCTTAAATCCAGTGTCTGTACCATAAATGAGACTTTCTTTGTGGTCTGGGGCTGTCTACAGATCATAAACACACACAGACTGAAGAGCAGCAGACCGAAGCTGAGCAGAACCAGGACCCAGACCTCCAGAGAGACGATGGCTCCAATGTGATATGTGGTCAGGTAACTCATCACACACACCAGCAGCACTGAGGAGAGACAGAGAGGGGGAATGTAGATGAGTCCATTTTAATATTTCTTTGATTTTAAACCAAAACTGTGTAACTTTATGGATGTGGTACACATGCATGATTCCATGAAAATACAGTAAACTGTACTGTATATAATATCAGAGTCAAATGGACAACATTTCCATGGAGACAAGCAGATGAGAGCCAGGTATGTGTAGATGAAAATCTGGGATAAGGACACACATTTTTCTACATATTTCAGTGCGATAAAAACATTAAAAAATTTACAAAAATATGTTTTTATTTAACTCCTATCTTACCCTTTTAGTGCCTGTGAAAAAAATGCATATCAGTTGCATCAGGTTTTGCTCAGAATTGTAATTGAATATTGTATAATTGTATTTCCTTCTGTGTACCTTGATCAGTGTAGCTCATTTTTCAGAAAAGGGACCACTTTGTCATTGAAAATGCCCCACACCTCCAATACAAACAACAATTTAGATCAATAGGCTAAT